TATATATATATATTTTTTTTTCCAATTTAGTGCAGTGTGGAGTTTTGGGGAGATACCTGTTTATATCACTTTTAGCATTTTGTCCTTAGCTCCAAGGACATCACAGGTAAAGGAGCCTGCTTATCGTCAGCTGGGGATTGATCCTCAATCTATAGCTGATCTCTGGGATCTAAGCTGGGCCATAAGAGATCCAGACTCTTATCTTTTATCCAATTTAAGGTAACCTTGGCCTTAGGTTCTACTGCCTCTTTCAGGCCTAATCAAACAGCAGACCTCAGGTCATCTCCTTGCTCTTCCAAAGAAATCTCAAGATAAAAAGCAAATAAAGCAGAAAAGATCCTACACAAAGTAAGGGAAAATCAAAATCTTTAACCTCTATGTTATTCTTGCCTCAGTGGAGAAAATAGTAACTCCTACTATAGTTAGTGTATGTAGTTAACAGTCTGGAAAAACTTGTTTTATCCAGGCATGGTGGTGCAAGTTCAAGGCCAGCCTGGGAAACTTAGTGAGATCCTGTCTTAGATTAAAATTTTTAAAAAGGGTCTGGGGATGTGCCTCAGTGGTAGATGTAGGGGTTGCCTTGGGTTCATTTCCCAAGACAACAAAATATAAACAAGTAATACTCAAAAATGTCTCTTAATTTCTCTCCTTTTTAGGGAATTTTGAACATATTCTGATTTGTAGAGCGTTTGGAAAAAACTAAGTCACAATTTATTTTTTTATCTCGGAAGAAAACTATCAGAATTCAAGTTCTCGGGGCATCAACTGTGTTCACTGATCTCTGAACTTGTACCACCAAGCACAAAGCCTGGTGTGCCGCGGCTACTCAGTAAGTGACTGTCTGAAGATGTCTGCTTTTGTCCAAATAACTTATCTCCTCAGCGTCATAATCAGGCCAGGTAATGAATATTCTGTTTCCACGGAGAGAGTTCACTCTATTTCTATTTGAAACTCCAAGTTCTTAAACAAACAAACAAGATGATGGAAAATTGAAATATTCTAGGACATTATTAATAGCTACCTTTTTATCATCTATGTGAATGTTAGTTTCTAATATAACAATGCCTATCTAAGAAGGAATTTGCTTACATTTGCTGCCTGCATTTCTTATCTTGGCCTTTTGGTGTCATTCTGAGATTAATCTGAAAAGCGTATGAAGTATGGTGAAATTATCTCTCTCTGGCTTTGGGTCTTTTTGGTCTGTGACTTGAAGCAAAGATTATTACACCTATAGTGAAGTTCACTAATCTAATGTTTTCAGTGCTATCTTAACTGAATATTTCATACCTGATATGAGGGGAAGAATGCAAATTCAACTAAGAGAACCTGTGATAGCATGATAGGCCTTTAGTTTTTATGGATAGAAAGAGCTTTTTATAAAATATCTTTTATTTACTCCGCATGAGGACTTTTAATGCAAACAAAACTGAGGTCCTCGGGCCATACTAGGCTCTAATCGATTCTGGGTAATCTGTTCTCTGCTGGGCTACAGAGAGATGATGAGACCCTTCACGTCTGCTCTTTCTGTTCTGTGCCTGGGGTCCTCTTCCACACTTGTCCACCCGGGAAGAAGCGTGAAAACCTCCGCACTTCAAGCACATCGCCAGTCCACAGCTAGCCGCATTCTCGGCCTTCGCCTTCCTCACGCAAAAGATCTGCTTTCAACGCCTTTTCTTTTTCCCATTATTAATTCTATTTTCTCTCCATTTGTCTATGCATATGCTTAATGACATGGTCTTTTCTGTGCTGTAAAAAATAAGTGAATAAATAAACAAAAATCAATATTGAACTGTAGCTTCATAAGACAGAAGCAAATGGTCTGAGTTCATTGTGTCTGGACATTACTATATTTATTCTATCTAGCACCCTACACTCACCTACTGTCTACACTGGGAGTCCCCACTTACCCTGATTTTTAGACTGCATTCATTCTCAGGGGAAGCATTGCCACCACCTGGATAGATGAACAACTCTTCTATCTAGACAGTCAGTTTATTATATATTGGCTTAATATATAGCCAATTTCTGGAGCTGTGGGTGGTTCAACTTAAAGTGTTATGGCCCTCTGAAAACACTGGAGGTTCCAGTTTTGAAAATAGTCTATTTACTTATGTTCTTGTCTGAACAATAGATTGAAGTAAAGTTTTAAAGTTTCTTAGAGAGCAATTATTCTAATTTAGAATAAAGTATTGTAAACTGAAATTCAATTCTGCGAGGTCAGAGGTATAGCTAAGAACTGTGAAGGGTCTGAGATCTCCACATTTACAAGCTAACAGGTCAGTCTGCCAGGGTGCCAGGGCTATGGCAGAAGATATGAAAGACCACGCCAGAGACAAAGCATTCCATGACCACAGTACAGCAAGCTGCATGAGCATCACTGAATTGGTTTTCCTTGTCCCTCGGCCTCATGGGCATGGTGCAGACAGGGCTAGATTTTGTCTACACTTTTAGTAGGTTGGAACGCTGTGTTAAGGAACCCAAAGCTTACATAGCAGGCGATAAGCATGCCTGCCTTCTCCTCCAAAGCTGTTTGCTATATAAACACCGTTGGCAAGGTATTCCAGAATGGAGAACAGTCAGTGACTCATTTACAAGCCGTGCTGTGGGAAGCAGAATTGAATACGTTTTTAGAGCTGTCTCACTCTCCGATTCTCATTCATTATGGGCTGATGGCTACTTCGAGGCCGTCAACTCTCTAGCACTTTCAGCCTTCCCATATTCTGCCCAAAAGAAGTCTATAGGCGAGAAATCTATGGTGGGAGTTGCATTGTCTATGGTGCGTGCAGAGAATCATGTACGGATCACAGCAGGGACAGCGAGAGCCTGAGGACACTGGTGTGGCATTGATACCCATTATCACACTACGCAGTTTTAGTGTTGCCTTTCCCCAGTACTACCTGTACAGTTCACCCCTTTCAATCTATGACTGAGTTGTTAGTCTGCTAGAAATGCCCGTGAGTCTTAAGTGACCAGGAATGATATTTTCAAGGACTTTCCTCATGTCATTGCTCTTAACCAGCTGCTTATCTGCATGCCTCTTACAGGGTAGTCATGAGGAAAGAACAAAAATAGAATTCAGAGAAGTCAGTTTGGCAACTTATTAACATCTTAGGAGATATTGAGAGGAAAAGATGGGAACTAATTGCTTAAATTTGTCTTTCAAAGTAATTGTATCTTTTGTTCCTGATCTCTGTGACCTCAGCCTTAGAAAACCAAGGGTTGGTCCTCAGTCAAGATTGTGTCAGTGATTATTTGAAGAACAAACTGAGGAAATGTAAGCAAAGATTTTTTTTTTTCTCCTCATCACCTTTTCACCACGATTAGATTTATTTGCTCCCCTTCCCTGGTCCCCTTCTCATTTAAGCTTTCCAAGTGTTTTAGAATCAAGAGTGAAAAATGAAACCCAGTTCGTGCTTTTAAGAAAATGAGAGGACGCACAGGTTGTATTGACAAGTGCATTTTCTAGGAGCATGAAAGTGTTGAGAATTTTTAGAAAAGAACTGTACAACCCTGACCAGTGAGAGAGCCACTAATTCAGAATCTGAGATAAATTTAAAATGTGGGTGAAGTGCATTGATTTACTATTAGGAATAGAAGTGGGGACAGGTTTGCCAAGAAAATTAAAATTATAAAAAAGGGAAATATTTAGTCTTTATAAGGCTGAAGGCCAACAGATATTTCTAAACACTTATAACACCACTCTGTGTTTAAATACGCTTCTGAGCAACAGTGAGGATCCTAATTCCTAGTGTTCTTTAAATCTATTATTAAAACCCTTAAAATTTCTACTTAAGACATGTAGCTCTTTCCCTTCCTTAGGCCCTGTCATCCTTGTTACCACATGAACTTAAAATTAAGCTGAATTTTGTGAAAATGTTTCTCCACTTTAGACTTTTCCAAAACTTTTTACCCAATTAGAGGAAATTAATGAGGTTTATTGCACTTGGAGTTGATATGGAATCACCAGCAGACAGTCAGGCCGCGTTTCTCCCCGGGTAGTGTCTGAAAGGAGAGAGAGGTTTTCTGCGCTTCCCGGAGCTTACAGAAACTCAATTCCGAGAGGAATTGTGTTATTTTGAGCATCCAGCATCTCTGTCTTCTGGTTTGCTTTCTTCAAACTTTCTTGACAGCATCTAGTCTAACTCACTCACTTATTTGTACCATCATTCAAGATGATAACCCGTGGGGATCCATGAGCCCATTAGGGTGCAAGTACAATTATTAGTATATCCATAGTAACCTTAACATAACACGGGCACATTTAATATTATTCTCTTGGTGGCAGTTTTGAATGCTATAACTATTACTTATCTATCCTTAAATTGATGATAGAACTTTGACACATCAGGCCTTCCTTGTATTTCTTTTCTTCCTGTACCTGAGAGTAAATGCTGAGGTACTGGCTCTACTTCTGTATCACATAGCATGCTGACATGATTGATGACATGGGTTAGCTGATGATCACATTCACAGGGTCATGGATCATAGACAAGAAATTCAGGGATGCTAAAATGATACGTACAGGTGTAGAGCTGTTTGATCCTTTAATGACTGAATAGAAGGTTTTAGTTGAATACCAAGGCCAAGGCCCAACTTTGATGCATTCTTAACAGAGATGCAGACCATAAATTAAGGTGAGCCATGCTGATCTCCTTACACAGGTTATTTGAAACCATTAAAAAATACAATGGAAAATATTACATTTAGAATAGAAGCAAAATACTAGTATTCTAGGCATAAAATTTTTAACACATGTTTAATCTTAAGAGGAAAGCGTCATTAAGGAGCATGAAAAATAAGACTCACATAAGCAGAGGACTTAGCTTATTTTTGGATATGAGGGCTCAGTATATTCAATAATCTAAAGGTGTCAATTCCTTAAAAATTAAACCATGCTCAATTATCCATCCTCTCTCTCCAGAATGGAACTTGAGAAATAATGTTCACCTGGAGAAACAGATGTGTGAGAATTATCATGAAAATTCAGACACCACACTGAGATTCGAAGAGAGTGCAGCAGGGAACCAATGTGCACCACGCTGAAGTGTCTTACCTCGTTACGTAGAGTACTGGAGTGTTGGATCTGGAGGAACAGGAGACATCAATTGCATAGGCTCTCAGAAATTGCTCTAGATCTATAGGATGCAAATCTCAAATGCATAAAGGGAGCATTTTATCAATAAACTAACATAATCTAGTAAATTATGTTGGTTCAACGTATTAACCATTTCGATAATAAACCCCCATTTTCAATACCAAAATTATTTCAAATGGACCCAGGAGTTAACCATTATATGACTAGGTAAATAATTATGTATATTAATTTTTATATATAATCAGAAGTTAAATAGTGAGAAAAATTGGTGAATTTAACTTAAAATTTACTTATAAGTTGAAACCTTCTGCATGACAAAAAATTCTATAAATAAAACTATAAGACAAAACTATAAGACCTATGAAAGCATTTTCAAACACATAGGATGAATTTCACTGACATATAAAAACTTTACAAGTCAATTTAAAATTAAAAACAAGCAATGCATAGAAAAAAGAAATAGTAAATGGATGATAAAATCATTCAAATTTTTAAACTTGATTAAGAAACAAAATACCATTTTTCTTTTTTTTCCTCTTTCTGTGATTTCTTTTTTTTTGTTTTTTTTTTCCGATACCAGGAATCAAACTCATGATGTTGCGCTTGGCCAGGCAGATGCTGTGCCACTGAGCTAAATCCCCAGCCCCTCTTTCTGTGATTTCCTTCCTTCCTCACTCCTTTCCTTCCATAGCACTGGAGACTGAACTCAGGGCCTTTGCACTGAGCCACATCCC